ACAGTATTCAGCAAAAAAAAAGCATAAGATATTTACATATTTTCCAATCCAAGCAGAAATCGAGGAGATCAGGGCGTAGCAGTAATTTTTTCCGGAAAATAAGGACCAATGTATGTACTAAAGTATTTTTTATTCTTGTCAGAGCCGGGAGGGGCCCATGTGGTACCACGTGTGCTGCCGACAGCGGCAATCGGTTGACTTGATTGTCACCGGCTTTTTTTTCGCTGTGCTGCTTGGAAACATGCGCTGTTACGTAGGTTGCCGTCACAACAAACTGTATTGGGATTTATTTGTCCGTTTGTGTAATGAAATCCGCTAAATTGAATCTCGAAGTAAAGTTATTCAAATCTATGCAAAGTCAAACAGCATGCATTTACTAGTTTAAAAGTTCGGCTTATTCAGCCTGGCGAAATTCCTCTTGGATCGCCTATGCTGGTTTCGCGTTACATCACAAATCCATATCTTCTTGATGGCCACAAATTCGATTTGAGGTTCGCTTTTCAGGTTCTTTTTTTTGTTTTGTAATTGTTGGATTTTCGGTGTTTCCTCTCTTGAAATGAACAATTTAGAAATATTAGAATAGGATTCCGACTAAGTATCATGTGCAAAAAAAGTGTTTTCTGTTTTTCATCCCTTAGTTGTAAGCGCAAACAAAATACAGCATGCGGGTAGGAGTGGGAATCATCAGTATAGCGATGTAATGTGCGACAACTGTGTTTTAATTGTTATTTGCTTGCATTGATGATTTTTCAAGTAAGCATTTTGCAATGTTTTAGGTTATACGTGATGGTAACATCGTTCTCTCCGCTGGTTGCATATATCTACAGGCAGGGCTTGGCTCGATTTGCCTCGGAGAAATATTGCAGCAATGCAAAAAGCTACCAACATCAGTTTTCTCATCTCACAAACTATTCAGTGAACAAAAACAATGGGAGATTTGTCAAGTTAGTTTAACTGGTGACAGAGACATAATGCTAGCGCAGTATTTTGTATCATCGGCAAAAGACGACTCGAGGATGAGGATTGGGGGGGGGGGGG